CCCTTCGCCTCGGTGGCTTCGCCGAAAATGTTGCTCAAGACCCCTCCAGGCATTGCCTGGCAACTGCCCTCTACCACCCCCAAAAGAGAGAAAATCCTCTAATGCTCTTCAGCTCTCTTAAGCCAATGTACATCTTGTGCTAGGTGAAGATCTGCTGTAGCTGTTCTACTAATTTAAGGTCAGCTCTAATGAGGAAGCAGAGATGTACCTACCACTCCACCCCATGCCACAGTAATACATTAGTAATCCTTTTAATAGTGAGATGTGAATGATCATTAAAGCCAGTAAGTGCCATTTTCTGGAATTCTGTGCAGTAGTAATGTTCTGTCACTTCCTACCCTTGGAGATCCCTGTGTTGTGTTTGTGGTACCCAGCCCTGGGACTGCAGTCACGTGCTTGACATACACACCATATTTGCTTAAGCACTTTATAGAAAAGTTAAGACTGTTGTCACCCAGCCTGAGGACAGGCAGCTTCTGATACTGTTTTACTTTTAATCAGATGATACCTCAAATTTGTAAGGCTGTTGCAGGTCCACTTCCTCATTCAGATGGAGGTGGCAGAATTCCTGCAGGAGCATGACAGCCTATTCCCATGTTTGTCATGCATTCAGAATGGAGAAAAGGGGGGTGGGGTGTTTAAGCGCTTGTAGATGCTGCCACAGAAGTTGTCTGAATCCTTTCATATGGTGGTAGTTAAAGTCTAGCCCATCAGTAGTAACACACATGGTTCCATCACACCAATGTAGCACAAAACATCTCCTAATGTTTTCCAGCAGAGCTGTGTCAGGATTTAGGAGACCTGGTAGTTCAATTTACTAATTTACTGGTGCTTCGTTCTCTGGTTTTCACTCGTGCTCCCCTGACTAAGTCTTATTTCAGCACTATTGGATCTTGTATTTTGATTGCTATGATCACACAGGTATCTGGAATCTTGCAGCTTTGCTTTGCTTTTCTCTAGAATGTGATGTTGGGTTGTTTTTTTTTTGTAGATTATTACACAGGGAGATTCAATAATTTCTTCATGGGGACAGCTTCTAGCAGTTTCTCACAGAAGCCACCCCTGCAGCCTCCCCCCGCTACCAAAACCTTGCCATGCAAACCCAATACACCTGCTTTCAGGTGAGCTGAATCACCCTCTGGTTCTCCAGTCACTGCAATAACCAGATAGATCTCTAGCTAACAGGTAGCCAATTTGGTGCCTAAACTGAGGTATCTGAATGTCAAGATGAATCCCATGCTAGAGAATTAGTGTACCCCAAATTGTGTATACATAATGCATGGGGCTCCTCTCTGCACAACTCTTTTGCTCTCTGAGAACGGAGAATGCACTCTGCCGCAATAGGGTCACTTGGTCCAAATAAAAAGGCTTCATGACCATTTAATCTTGGGCTTATCTCCTCTCCTTGCAAGCTGAGCAGTGTAAAAGCAAAACAGGTCACTCACGCGAAGACGACCATTCCCCAGCCAGCAATTGCCGTGAAGACCCTGGGGGGCAGGTCCCGGGAGGGGTTTATGGCGTAGCCTGTGTTCATCCCCAGGCCTATGCCCAGGACCAGGATACCCGTGAGTAGGGCCTGTGTGCCTTTCAGGGCTCCATTGTTTTTCTCATCGTGGATGATCAGAATGCCCAGGAGCAACATCACTGTTGCCATAAACTGCAGGAGCAGGGAAGGGGAAACAGGTCAGGAGAGAGAATGGCAAAGGCAGATGGATCCCACTCAGCAGAGGAAGAGACTTCCCAGAATGGAAGAGCAGGTGGGATTCATGGTCTGATCAAGTCAAGGAGGACCCCAATGTTATTCCTTCCTCACAGGTGGACTGAAGAAAAGTCTTGACTCATTTCCCAGCAAAAACGTCTCCACCTTATCACCAAAAATGCTCTAGGACTGATATGAACTTCTCAGCACTGTCCTCTCCCTCCACCTTTCAAGTTAGGGACATGGGTTATTTTAAGTACATTTTGTCTAACAGAGGCAGAGCCGTAACAAACTAATGAGACAAATCTGATCCTCCCTAGAGGGAGTGATGTTTTATATAGCCTGTCACATCAGTCCTTTCAGGACTAAAAGCAGATACCAGGTTCTCATCTGGGAAACTGAATCTCCTATCTGTGACAGTACGTAGTTAGCATTTGTAGATCTGCAGTGCCGAAGACATCAGGAACTGTGGTTTGAATAGAAGTGATGATTCCTGTCTCTTTCTGCTTCAGAAAATGCATCTGGAGAGCCTTGGACTGCTTGCAGAGATGCCAGCAAAAGCAGAAACTCTGCAGCTCTTGGCAACGCAACTGTCACTGTCATTTGCTTTCTTGTGCAGCAAGGACACTGCATGCTCCACAGGAGGCTGAGTGGTTCCCATCTGTACACTCTCCAGCTCTCACCATCCTCCTCATCATGCCCAGGCAAGAGTTTTTTCAGCTCAGAGACAAAAGCACAGGCTTCCTCAGATTTGAATTGGAAGAGAATCTTCCTTCTCCAGTGTCCCAGTGCTCCACATCCCCTGAGACATCCCCTTCTTATTTCTGGGCATCTGGACATTGCGTTGTATGCTGGGAATCAACTGTACACAGTCTAAATTGGACTGTTCAAACCCTAGAGGTTCAATCCAGACAGGCTGTGTTCATGTGAAAACAGTCCTGGGCCCTCTGTGCTGGTGAGGGGCAACCAGCAGAGCTGCCTGGGAGCATGGAGCGGGTGTAGGATCCAAAAAAGGGTAAGAACAGTTCAGGGAACTGCCCAGAACCCAAAGGAGATGGTTTCTGATATAGCTCAGCTTCTCACTTCCCATTGCTTGGGCTGTGTGCAGGGGAAGTGCCTGGAGGACACTTGGACCAAGCTGCAGAGCAGCCTGAAGGCTGCTCAGCCACCAAGGTGCCTTGAATGCTACCTGTCAGGCACCTGCCTGGATGGTGGGCTCCTTGGAGTAGAGGCTGTGATTGTGTCTGTGCATGCAGGGCTGTGAGTCCCCTGTAGCAGACCTGCACAAGCGCCCGTTACCACCCACCTTCTCCTACCACACCATGGTGGTCCCCACTGACCTCTGTGAAGAAGCCCCCCAGCAAGGATACATAGGGAGCAGGGTAAGTGGAGAAGATCAATGCTGTAGCAGTTGAGCCTGTTACTGTAAAGTTCCCCTTGGTGTAGTCGTACAGAGCATCTAGGAGAAATGGGAATTACGGGAGTTAGCACAGAGTTCATCCCACATGGCATGTACACAAGTCCACCTGTTGCAACCAGCATGGACACCAAGGGGAAGAGAGGCAATGGGAGATATGATGGAAGCGACACACCCTTCACAGGACATGATCTCACCAACTTTGGTCTGCAGTTGCTTCCTTACACCTACCAGCTCCCTGTCCCTGCTCCAAGAGCCTGGGGCAGGCTGGGTGCTCTGGATGCACTTGAGGCCTCCATCCCTCTGCCCCTCGGAGACTGAGACATGCTGGAGCTAATGGGTGGTGGGTCCTCTGCTCACAACTCAAAACCACAGATGAAAAAATAACTGCTGTCCTGTTTTCCACAGACTAGCAGAGTCCCCCAGAGCTCCAGCTGTACCTAATACATGGTAGTCCATCTAACTTGATCCCTTGCAGACCCTTGGAAACAAAATGCTGACAAAATGCAGCTACCAGCCTTGAGACTGGTTTTGGCAATTCCCTGAGCAAAAGGAGCTGTGTTCTCCAGGAACTGTACATTCTTCCCAGAAATATCTGGGCCCTGCACTGGCCTTGAGCTATAAAGGTCTGTCCCACAAGCCAGGAGCTTGCCCTCCTGTCCTGGTTTCAGCTGGGATAGAGTTAATTTTATTCCTAGTAGCTGGTATAGTGCTGTGTTTTGGATTTAGGATGAGAATAATGTTGATAACACACTGATGTTTTAGTTGTTGCTAGGCAATGCTTATACTAAGTCAAGGATTTTTCAGCTTCTCATACTGCCCTGCCAGCGAGGAGGCTGGGGGTGCACAAGAAGCTGGGAGGGGACACAGATGGGACAGCTGGCTTGGGCCGGCCAAAGGGCGGTTAAAAACAATAAAACGGGGGGGAGTTGGCCAGGGGATGGCAGCTGCTGCTAGGGGACTGGCTGGACATTGGTGGTAAGCAATTGCATTGTGCATCACTTGTTTTGTATATTCTTTTATCATGATTATTTTCCCTTCCTTTTCTGTCCTATTAAATTCCACTGGTGGGGGGAAGTGAGAAAATGGCTGTGTGGTGTTTAGCTGCCTGCCAGGTTAAACCACACCACCTCCTCACCCAAACATCATGCTGGGTACTGTAATAGGAAATATTTTTGACAACCTGTGAGTTAAGACTGAAATGGTGCCCACAGCAACTCCTATGATAAAGATACAGCCATACCATAGTAGAGGTCAAAGATGATGGCTGCTGCTGTAAAGGAGCCCAGGAGGATGACCAGATAAGCTGGGAGCTTTCTCCAGGGGAGTTTTCCTAAAATGCAGTGTGTGACAGTGATGGCAGCATTCAGATGAGCTCCTGCAAAATCATAGCAAAAGAGAGTGGCCTCAGCCCTGATGCAGCTGTTTTGGAGCATGCCCCACCCCACAGTAATCGCCCGGACCTTGCTCCAGAACACCAAGATTCTCCCAGGACAGGGTCTCCCTCCTGCACAAACTCAAAGCTGACCCATTTTCCCTGGGCAGCTGAATGATTCAGGGCATAGCACTCCTAGCTTTTAGAGTACTAAAGTTAGATGACCATAGGCTGCCTCCGGAGAGTGAGTCATCTCATCTGTCAGAGACGCCTCTCTTGGCATGGCATGAGTCTCCCTCTGTATGGGCTTCTCTCTATTCAGCTTAAGGGGAGCCCAAACCTTAGACTCATCACCCACCTTTTATATGGCTACAGGTAGATGAGGCAAATCTTATCCCAAACAATCACAAGGCCTTCTGAAAACATCTGATAGACAAGGAGAGCCTGATCCTGGCAGAGCTGAGCACCCCAGCTGATGGGAGCTGCCAGCTCTTAGCACATCTGGCAGCAAGGCATGAGATGCTGGGAAAAAACCTGCAAGATCAGCCACTGAGGCCCCATAACTTCATGTCTGCAAAGCAAAACCTATAAAGGGCTGTCAGCAGAGACTCAGCCTAGCTCTTGGATGTCACTGCATTGAGAAGGGGTTACCAGGATGGTCATTCCTGCAGAGTTTGTAATCTTGGACTTCATTTCCTTAAATCTTTTAGTACGTGGCTTTCATACAGTGCAAGACCAGTTTTCCCTGTTTTAAGGGGACACTTTCTATGGAGGAGGTTGGTGTCACAATAGTGCTTTTGGAGAAAGACTTAAGTGGATCCAGGTTTGGTGCCCTCAATGCAATCCACATTTGTTCTCCAGGCCTCATTTCCCCATGAGTCCAATGGAAATATATGCTTTTCCTGCCTAGTAGGTGTAAACTTTGGGGGTCAATAAATGTTCCAACCTTAGTGGCCTTCTCCTATTCCAGACTCAGAAAGGGGTAAGATCCAGACACACATCATCTCATCAAAGTGCAGGAGTGCAGGACATAGTGAAGTGAAAGTGCATGTATCGCCTTGCTACAGTCCCACAACCACAACTGAAATGGGGGGAGACCCCTTTTTCTTTGATCCTCTGACACTTTGTGGGCATGAACAACTGCGACGAGTGAGGGAAGACAAGCAGCCGAC